GACAGGGTTCGTCCTCCTGGATATATTTTTAATATTTATGCAGACACATACAAAAAATGCAATAAACTAAAATAACAAGTGAATTAGGTATGAAACACAACAGGATATTGCTGAGAGATTATGTTGTTTCCTTTTTGGCCACATGTCCCTCGGTGCTGGCCTCTGCACAACAACCCAGGACCAGCTTTAATTGGTGGGGGAGTGGGAACCAAACAAACTTTCATAAAAGTCATCGGAGGTTTTCGTGACCCTCAAAATTGAGCATCTACACATGGAAGGACCTGGTGTATAATTTTGAATGGGCAAGTTCTTAAAATACTATCCAGGTACGGAGTGTGACAGGCCCACTCGGGGTTCAAAGCACGGCTCATATGTTGTGATAATGACTTTTTCTTGCCAAGACACAGCGTGAAGCAAATGCTGTCCAGCTGGATGAAGAAAAGGGAGATAAAGTATATACTGTTTGCAGCGAGGCCGAGAGGAGAGAGAGGTGTGTTATGTTTGGATGTCAGCAGAGCCCTGCTTCATGAGTGCCTGCTGGAAGCTGCCGCTGGAAAGATAATAAAAGGATTAGACCTGTTTTTTCTATAGAGCTGGGTCCTAAAACAGAATGTCTCAACTGTTTCCTCTACACGAATAGCTCAAATACTCAAATGCCTGAGTGTATTGCATGAGCACAACAAAAATAAGAGGCATCAGGGCTAGTGGCAAAAGGTCCAGGAACTCAGTCACACAAAAAAAGGGATTTTGGAAAGTTTTGAGCTAAGTCCCAAATACATGCAGACGCTTTTGGTTTCATATGTGCAGAATATTTGCTGAAAGTGTTAGTCTAAGCTTACTGAAGTGGGGTTATGTCTCAAAGACACAAGCAGTTAATATCTTACTGTTATAGCGTCTTCATTCTGTATCTATAAAGGTTAGTTTGTCCAGGAGTCTGTCGGGGAGGGGCTAAACCCACTTTAACTGTCTTAAATCAACTACAATCACAAAATCATCATCAAAATGAGGTTATTTTCAGAACCTGCAGTCTACAATTTGGACATCCCTCACCCTGAAATACCAGTGAAGGCAGTGCGCTGCCACTGAGCTTCCTGTGTGCAACATGAACTGAAAACAGAAGATAATGGTAAATTGATGAAATACAAATGCATGCAGAACAGTTTATATAAACTAATGTAATAATTTTGCATTTTATTTGAAACACAACTACATAAGCATGAAACCACAGTCACCCCATTATATAAATCTTCTATTGTGGACCTCATGCAGGGAATCTTAAAATGTTCAGCACTTTAAATACAGTTGATGTACATTATATTTGAAATATTGCACTAATCAACATGTTTCTTCGATGAGCACCAGCTTCATCTTCCTCTCACAGTTCATAGAGGTCAGGGCTTTGTCTTTACCTCCAGAATAAGATAAATAACATTGTTGGATTGATTTCAGCCCGTTCTGTGTTGGAACCTTTCAGATGATCTTGAGGAATATCATAATGTGTCTAATTGCAAATATTTTATAGTAGGTGTTGTGCACAGAGAGGTCATTAGTGGTCATTCATCTCCATTCCCATGTAAACAATTATTATATAATCTGTGAATAACTGTTCAAAACAAACACGAAGACAGTTTGAATGTTGACAATAAGGGTGATCAAGAGGTTAAGGTGCGTTGCAGAAATTTCAGTGTCTCGTGTCTCAGAGAGAGTCCAGAGGTTTGTCCACAATGAGGCAAATTGTTCTGAACTTCACATATGGCAAACATCCCCAAAACTCTGTCACACCCTAGCCTAGAGTGTGTATGCAGGATATTTCCACGCATTGCACATTTGTGATTTGGCAGCACTCGTGGAAAAGATAAATCTGCAACAATAATTGGTCAAAAAAACGAAACAAAAAAAAAAAGCAAGCCATGAAAAATTACTTAATTGGAAAGTCAAATTACCTAAAAGGTCATTTAGAAAAAATAGTAATCAGTCAGAGATTCTGAATACAGAAAAATGTGTTTTTCAGCAGGTTAAATATATTAAGAAATCCATTTACTTTTTTGAGTGTACTGCCAATCAGACAAAGGTTAGTGGCACAGATTTAAATGGGCTTATTTTATGGGTTTCAACTTCCTTAAACACCAAGAAACCCCTATTTTAGTCCAACATAAAATAGGAAGTGTGCATGAAGTGAAAGTGTTAGTTTCACTTCATGCTCTTTGATGCAGAAATATCTTCAGCATCGAAGATATTTTTGAAAACTCAGTTTAGTGGACCCCCTGGTATCTGCAGGGCATAGAAACCTTAACCGTCTGCAAAAAGCTGAAATTTGTGAATACTGGAGACCTGTTCAAAACTACATAAAACACCCTGGTTTAATAGTTCAACCTACCAAATATACCTTTACATGCATTAATGTCCAGAGTGGAAATTATTTTAGCACAACCACAGAAGCTCACATCCTTGGTCTTCCTTATATTTGCTCTTATATTTACTGCCAATTAGCACCATGGAAAATAAATGGAGCTCCTGAATTTGTCTGCTGTGCCAGAATTGTGCCAAGGTACATCAGCTTCCAAAGTTGTGTTTTCTTTCAAACATTCCAGATATGCTCTACCAAAAGATCTGCAAACAGGTACATTTTTTGTGAAACATTTGGAGTTAAGATTCCACAGAAAAATCCACATAAATCCATGAACTTCTGAATGTTAAATCGAAGAGAGGCAGAGGTTCACTGTAGTTGTTTTCAGTATGAATTCATCAGTCTCTCTTATTCTTTTGGAGGAATATTCTCACATTGTTTTACCAATATTATTTCAGTTCCTTGAAGTTTGTATGCATTTTCTGGAATTGCAAACATCCAACAGCAATGAAATGCAGAAACTGTTACTGCAACAGAGGCGACTGCCCTGAAAATGTCCAACTATTTTATCCAAGGAAGCAGCAGGTCAGTGAATTTTCAATAGAATATAGTTGAAAATGAATACTAGATTCAAAACTATTTGATAAACATACACAAACTCTCTATTTACCAGGTTAGTATGGTGAGGAGTTTTCTACCTTAACTGAACCTGACAAGAGCTTAAAATGAAAACATCATATTGAGCAAGACGGGCAAATATTGCAGACCATCACTCTGTGCTCCCTTTAACCAGATTACTACATTTCTTCTCGTGTGTGGCTTGGATTTGAAGCCAATTCACTTCATACTTGTGAGACAGCTAAAAATTCAAAGCTCCCATTTAAACCGATCAAATGTAGGCATTGTTTGGTTATGTTTTCCATTTGTGTTGGATTTTCAGAATTTGAATCTGTTCTCAGAAAAACAGCAAAGCACTTGTGAAAATAAACAAGACTTCAGCCCTACACAACTTGTGGATTAATAGTGTATTTGGACCAAATCTGTTGAAGTAATTTTCCATTTGTAAACAGACGTGGAGGGAGTGACAGCTTCATGCTGATCTGTAAGAGCACGTGGGAAACTGGAGCTCTACCAATAAAGAAATAGACTTTGTTTCCTTTTGCGTTCCCTCGCAAAACTTTTGTGTTCCCTCGCAAAGGTAGTGTTCCTTCGCAGTACCGCACTGATCAGTTCATGTGGCGTAATTGAATACTGTAAGCTTTTCCTACGGTGGCTGCCGTACTTTCTGCTATAATATAAGGTTATGTGAGGTTTTTCCATGAACCTTAATATCTCTTTCTGAAATATCTGAAGTTTTATGTCTTTTTCTTTAAGACAGAGATGCACCAAAAACCTATGATATGAACAGAAACTTCCTATAAAGTAGGAAAGAAATAAAAATGCATCCAAGCTTTTGGACTAGTTCTGAGTTATTATCGCGGGGTAATTAGTCACCTGACAGTTTTGATTGTGTCTCTGTTGTGCTGGTTGTCTGATTGTTTTAAAGGGCCGTTGTCATGTTCAGTTTCATCTCAACTGAGATAAATCAACTTTCGATCAGTTTTTTTTTTTGTACCAAATACTTAATAATAATAAACACATTTCATTATTATAAAACACGACAAACTAATGGTGGTCGAGGGCCGCACTTAGTTAACTCATCTGAATCTCATCTGTCCGTGTATCAATCAACTGCAAAACCATTTCTTTGTTCTGTCACAATTGTTGATTTATTCCATTCATCAGGCTCCAAACTTGCAAGGAATGACCTCCCCACTCACCGCTTCCTCACACACACAAAGCCAGCAGGCCAGTAACCTTCAATTATACTTGATGGCAGTCACAGCGACACACACCACCCAGGTGTCAAAGCCGTGTGCTCCTGTCATATCAATAATTACTTATTTTATTCATATGTCTCATGCAAAGCCTCTGTGACAACATGTTTATTATTATTAAGTCTTCGGTGCAAAAATCTAATTTAAAATTGATTTATTCACTGCATGTTTATGTCTGCTAAGGTTCAGATGGAAATGAACATGAAAACAGCCCTTTAAACCATTCAGTCTATGGACACAATAGAGACGCAATCAAAACTGTCAAATTACTTATGCGATAATAACTCAGAAATAGTCCAAATAGTTTGGATGTATTTTTATTTATTTCCTACTTATGTAAAATTTCTGTTTACGTCAGAGGTTTGTGGTGCCTTTCTATCCTAAAGAAAAAGATATAAAACTTCAGATATTTCATGAGTGGATATTGACATTCATGGAAAAACCTCACATAATTGAAAAACTTACAGAATTCAATTATGCCGCATAACTGATCAGTAGATTATTGTGAGGGAACGCAAAAGAAAAAAAATCCCCATTTTCTTGGAGGGCTCCATAGTATTTTTCTATAGATACAGGTGTTTTGTTTTTTTTAAAGCATTGTTCTGAGGAAGTCAGCCTCAAAAAACAAAAAATGTATTTAAGAAAATATGAAAGGTAAAAATGAGGGAACAGTCAGTTATTTTAAACACATTGGTTGAATGTCAAACCACCATTTCTGCAGAATGGTAACTGATTGTTTTGTGGTTTTTTTTGTTTGTTTTTTTTTTATGACTCACCATGCACTTGTTGGGTTTCTCTCCCGAGTGGACCCTCATGTGAATCAGCAGCTTGTAGCGGGCATTGAAGGGCTTGTAGCGGCGAATGCAGCCGGCCCAGAAACAGGTAAAGTCCTCTCCTTTACGCTGGTCAATGTGGACTTTCTCAATGTGCCTAACAAGCTCCTCCTGCTGCTCGTAAGCAGCGCTGCAGTCAATCCAGCGGCACACCTGCTTATCTGTTTGCGCTCCTCCTCTGACGTCTTCGCGTTCCGGGGTTGTGTGGGTGGCAGGGGGGCCTCCGGAGGTTTGTTTTAATGCCAGAGAGGAGGCTTGTGTTGTCTGCTGACTCTGGTGCTGCAGTGGCCCCCCATGACTGGGGCCCGGGTATTGGTGCAGGTGATAGGGAGGAGGCATGGCAGATCGAGATGGGTGGGGAGTGTGACGGTGGTGCCCAGTGCGACCACTTAGGTGATGATGGTGGTGATAGTGGTGCTGGAAGAGTTCATCTTCACTTGGAGAGAAGTCATCAAGAGGTTCCTGCTTGAGAGCTGCCCCACATCTTTGACTTCCATCCAACAGGCAACCAGCATCAGAACTGGAGCTCAATGTCCCAGACATAAGGGCCCCACTCATCAGTAGTCCCAACCCATCCAAGCCTCTCTCTTCACTTTCCTCGGCTGTTCCTCCAGCCCCAAGCCCCCGCAGCATGGAGACCTGCTCCTCGCAAAGCCCCAGGCTCTGCCCTAGGCCTGTCTCTGGCTCCACTAATGACGCCGAAGAAGAGGATGACGAGGCGGACAAGGACAGGAGGCAGACGGCAGGTGAGGACAGTTGACAGCTCTCCTGTAGTGATGAATGCTGGGGGCTGCTGTGACGTGGGGGTCTCCGAGGGGCCTCCCGCTGGCAGCAAATAGAGGGTGGGGATGTGGAAGAAGAGGAGGAGGACGACGAAGACAAGCCGGCGCTACTAGCGTTGCTGGGGGAGAGGTTAGCGCGGAATCCGTTGACGCAGGCAACCATCGACATCTGGGAGGAGGAGCAGATGGCTGCGGTGATATTGATCTCGTTGGCGGTCGTGCCAGTGGCTGATGGTGAACTCGTTGGGGCGACGCTGCTGGTGCCAGCAGCGGCAGTAGACTGTGAGGCCAGGGAAAGGCAGCGTCTCTTCACATCGCTAGCGCTGAGCAGACGCGCTGAATGATGGGAGCCAGTTGGGGACAAAGCCAGTGGGGAGGAGCCATCTCCATTATTAAAAGGTTGCACCGCGTCTCCTGACACGGCACTACCTACACAGCTCACCGTGCATACGCCATTACCGTTAGTGCTAGCATGCAGGGCCGCAGCTATATCGTCTCTCGATGCATCCAAAGCTTGATCTGCCCTACAGGCCTGAAACGGAGCCTGAGATGGACCTTGAACGCCGGAGGTCTTGTGTCCGATTGAGTTCTCCTGTTTAATCGGGTAAGGGGCAGAGGAGAGAACCATGCTGGCACCAGGCGGGGCTCTCTGGAAGGTGGAGGTGCTTCTGTAAGGGAGACGCAATATGAGTTGTACTAGTTTTATTTCCGTTGACAGACACAGACTGATTCATTCTTCTCAAAATGTTTCAGACAAACCTTATATTCACAATGGCGAAGCTACAAATGAAACAAAACTGCAAAGTTATGTTACAAATCATGGAGCACAGCCCACCTATGATCCAGAGTTGTTTTATGACTAACTGAAATAGGATCTTCTTGTAGTGAGAGGATATGAATGAGTATTTAAGACAAAGAAGAGAGAGACGGGGGAGGTAAGGGTGGCTTCTGAGACTGAGAGGCCACTGGCTAGTGTGTCCATCTGACAGGCTTTGATGACACAAAGGGGTTAAACCCAACCCAGCATTGGGGATAAATAAGGAGTCACCTGTTTTGGTGGCATAATTGCGCCCTATGAAGGGTCGCCGTTTACAATACTGTGTATTATGGTGGGAATCTTTGCCCTCCTGAATGGATAACCCGGGTCATGTTTCCCCATGCGTTGCTGTGATCTCCGACATAATCATTCCTGTCAGCTGGCTCATTATGGATTTTGTCCAAAGCCCCTGAGTGATGTGAGAAGAGCTCGCTTTTCTCCTGTCTGTCTCATGCAGCTATCATCTTTGTCCCTTCCCCTGAGTTTACCAGGGAAGGAAAAGAAAAGAGCCAACGCTAGTCAGGATTGGAGAGAAGAACTGGGAGGGGAGACCATGTCATCAGTGTCTTTAATAAAAGAATTGGTTACCTCTCTTTTTACTCAGAAGCACCTTTACCTGTTTGGTTCTATAGATGGTATTGAGAGACAATATGAAAGAATAGCATGTTGGTGGATAGGCAACAAATATGTTAAAGCTAATATCAGGAAATCTGCTTTGATATTCTTCACAACATGAAAGATTTGAATAGCGATTAGTTGCATTTGTGTAAATAATGTATGCACGATCACTTGTTGCATCAACATAATTTTTCTGCATTTTATCAGAAATACCATGTTCAAATTAAGTCATATTCAAAACTGTAAATGGAAAAGAAAAAAAAAGGCAAGCAGATGCGACAGTTTTACCTGCTTTCGCGGTGCGGGCCATCCTGCAGAAGGAGGTCGGATGCTGGTCTGCTGCAGTGGAGGCTCGGGGGGTAGAGCCCTTCTGAGTGGCCCCCCGCTGGCAGTGGCAAGCTCTGCCCACATCGCATTAGGGTGCCCTCGGCATCACTCAGCTCAGAGCTGCCATCCTTCTCTGAGCAGTAGGCCCCATTAACTGGAAGACAAACAAGAGCAAAACAGCTAAACAGTCTGCTTCAGATCTGATCAGAGTGTATGTTCACTAGTTACATAAGGACACTATTCATCCCTGAAATGTGCTGACATCACAGTTTTGTTTCAGTAAAGCAAACCAGCGACTCCGTATCATTGCAAAATAATAATAATTTGAAAAAAAAAAACCCAGAAATAAAATCTGCTTAAATTGCTTGTCTCTGCAATATAAGCAGATATTGCTCAGTCATCTGCTGGCTTTCCTGGAAGAACAACGAGTTTGAACCTGGAGTCGTGCCTTCAGTGGTATGTTGAAATCTTATTATACTGTGAAAGACCTCTTGAGGAATAAATGCTGGCTGTCATATCGGTAACCCTGAGTGATCCATGGAGAGCTTTCTGGCAAAGTGCAATCCATATAGTAGTAAGAATAACGCCAGACAATTCATCACTGGAGAACCTTTGGGATTTTTATTCCAAACGGCAATATTTTCATTTTGGAAAAATAAATGTAGTTTGTGCAGATTCTCCTACCAGTAAGCGTGACATAATTTATGGTACAATTTATAAATGCTGACCAATTTGTGTACGATGTCTTGCAAAATTGCTCATATCATTTGAAGTTTTTCACACTTTGTCACATTGTAACCTCAAACTTCAATTTATGTCTTTATGTCTAATATACAAAGCAGAGAATGATTCTAAAACAGAAAATCTAGTAGATTTCAAAGTGTGGTATAAATTTTCTTAAGCTTCCTAAGTCAAAACATTGCAAAACCATATTTTGCTTCAATTATACCTGCAGGTCTACTGTGATGTGCTCTAAAAGCTCTTTGTGAATCTAGAGACTAAATAGCTGCAACATTTGTCTTCACAAAATAGCTCAAGTTCAGTCAGATTGGGTGGAGAACATCAACAAACATCAGTTTTCAAATTTCGTGATAACCTTTTATTTGGAATTAGGTCTGGGATGTTTAACACATAATTATACATGACTTAAGCTGTTCCATTGTAGCTCTTGCTGTACATCTGCAGGTGGTGTTATGCTCAAACGACACTGATTTTTCTGCAGCCTCTTGTAGGTTTTCCTCCAGCATTGCCCCGATTTCATCTTCGTATCAGTTCTAAGCAACTTTGCAGTTTCTACAGAAGATGAGATTGATTCTGCCACTACCATGTTTCTGTGGGTATATTATGTTCAGAATAATGGGTCTTATAAGATTTCTGCCAAACATTGAGTTTCGCAGGAGAGCCAAATGGACCAGTTTTGTTCTCATCTGACCAGAGCATATTCTTTTCTTTTATTGTTTTTGGGCCTGGTGGTCTTTATTTGAAAATGTTACAGCAGGAAGTAAGTAAAGAGAAATAAGGAGCACATACAGCAAAGGTCACCAGGCCAGGCATCGAACCTGAGATTAAGGCCTCCTTCTATGGGTTGAGCTTAACCCCTGCGCCACCACAGCACCCCACCAGAGCACATTCTTCAATAGATTTCCTGTCAACAGATTCCCTCACTGGAGCTGAGAAGCACCTAGAGTTACTGTGGCTGCTTCTTTGAATAATGTTGTCTTTATTGTTGTCTGTTTAGGTGGACGGCCATGAGTCAGTAGGTTTCCATTTGTTCAGTTGATAGACTAAAGTCCACTATGAGATCCTAAGAGGTTAGAATGCAGGTCATAGATTTTGTTCGATTCGTGACCTGTCTCATGTGTTTCTTGGTCTTCATAATGCAGGTTGTTAACGTTCCATACAAAACATCTGGGTTTAACAATAAGTTAACTTACACACAGATACTACTTTGATGTCTTCTTATAGACAATTTTGAAAACAATGTGTCCATTTTCATTCAAACTGACAATTATGACTTACTTTCCTCTGGTAAAATTGAAGACAAATTAATTGAGACATTTTGTGAAAAGAAGGGATTCACTAGTCAAATTATCTTAATATAGAACTATTTGCTTTAAAGAAAAATAGATTTCAGACATCCCTGCGATAAGAATCAAAACAATTACACAAATGCGGGATTAGAGAATGTGGCATTGTTGACTTTGAAAGTAATTTCATTACATGTTTTATTATTCCTGAAGGAAGATTTTGGATTATAGTATCCAAAAAAGTAAGACGAGATACAAAAAGTGTGTGAGGATGAAAAAGTTTGATGTGTGTTAGGTGTGTTCATGTGTGTGTGTTTGGAAATGCTTGTGACCGGTAAGTCGATACCCCCACACACTCATGTGCAGACACAGGCCACACGTTCCCCGCTTCAATTTTTAACTCAATTTCACAAATTTAATTTTCTCTTAACAATATTATTCGCAATGTTATCACACAGCATGAGCCTATATTGATAAAGTAACTCAAACGCCATGTAGGTGAAAGAAAACAGCAGAAAAAGTATTGGAGAATAATTTCAGAAGAGGGTTAAGAAACAATAATGGCTTAAATGCAAGTTTGAGGATTACTATCGCAAAGACACAAATATATGAGAAATAAAAAGAGTCAACAACCAGAATTGTATGTTTTGCAACACAAGAAGAAAATGAAAAAAAACAATAAAAGAAACATAAAAAAATAAAAACAAAAAAGAGGCAGGGAGGGAATGTTTTTAAATTTAGGAAAAAGGTTAGGAAAAATTAACAAAAAAGAAGAAAATAAGAACATCTGTGGTCATGTTCCTCTAGAATTTTACAAACATTTTCTTCACTTATTCTGTCCACATTCTGCTCGGCATTTGTCTTGTCATGGTTCAAAGCAGAAACACAAAGAGGCAGAGAGGAGGCACGAGCTACGCAAACAGTTCACCATCGCCTGGGGACTGCAGCAACACCGCTGGTTTCACTCAGAGCCGTTAACGGAGGACTTTCAGCCCTCGTCTGTTTTTAAGCAATAAAAATTGTTCTGCTTGGCAAATTCTCTGTGTTCTCTTTTTTTTTTTTTTTCCTTCCCCCATTCCCTTTTTGGCTCGATATTTGCCATTTATGTACAAGTTTATTTCTGTATAAAGGTTTCAAGACGTGCCCATGAGAAGCCAAGTTTTTCTTCCTTCTCTAATAGTCAGGAACAATCAATAAAGCGGGGCAAAGGGTGCATGAATTAGGTTGAAGATCACTGACATTAGCAGCTGCGTTTCATAATTACGCATTTACCGCTTGCAAATAAAGTAAATAAAAAAAGCAACCAAATAAAAGTGCCGAAATGAAAAGCGGTTCATCTGACTGCCAGGTGGTCAATGAGGCCTGAACTGAAAGCTATCATTATCTCAAAGCAAACTACAGTGGCCTCACCCAAAGCACTGCTTCACAATATGTAGGGCATTTCTGGCTGTAGAATATAATTTTGATGCTTTTGTCAGAGCAGGTTTCTTTCAAGGAATAAAAATATGAATAATCCATTTGGAAATCAACACGAACGCCGAGAGGTTAATACCACATTCAGCTCAAGCAAGGCAGTGAGAAATAATCCTACGAGTAATTTAGAATATATAAAGAGAGACTTGACAGGTAATTATGAATAAAAGGGTGATGATAGGAAAGATGATTGGGTTCATTCATTCAGATATAAGTTAATTAATAAGCTAATTTAATTTGTTTCCATTTATTTCTAGCATAAAAGTAATTTAAAGAGCATTTTTGAGGTTATCAATTCTAACAAGAGTGCAGTGGCTACTGTTGCTTTTGGAAAAGTTTCCCCTTATATATTTCTGTATAAAGCCTTCAAGACGTAGAATAAAACTTTAACGACGGTGTAAGAAAGAAGATCGACCTTCTGTTATCAAGAGGTCAACTGCTCAAAAAGTCTGACTTGGTGAGGAAGCATGCCACATTGTCTGCATCCTTGAATGAAACCACTGCTGTCTTTTCCTGCATAAGTTTATATATTTGATCAACATTTCTCAACACTGGTCCTCATGCCTTTACGTGCTTCTTTTCTGCCATAACCCAGACATACGTTATTGGCTGATAAACAGGCATAAAAAGCACTAGATGCCACTCGATGGCATGCAGAAGACAAAACAGTCGTTTGAGTGAGATGTGAGAGAACATAGACGTAACTAAAACATAAAGGTTGTGGCCATGGGGACCAGAGTTCAATTATTTAATCAAGTTTATGTGTGTCGCACATTTCAGCAACGAGGCAGTTCAAAGTGCTCACTATGAACCGCATGATTGTTTTTATGATTTCAAGTATGCTTTGAATCATGAAAACTCAAAAACAAATAAAACACATACAAGTCATCAACACTTGAAACATTATATTTTGCCAAGTTGAGAGTCATTCAGAGAAATTCAACTTGTCTTTTTATTAGTGGTGCGACTCAATTAAAATCTGCAATCAAGTTAATTGCATGGTTGGGTTGGTACTTCGTCGCTTTTTAATTGAAAACCACATGTTGGCAAAATAACATTTAAACATTTTTTATTCATAAACCCTTTTTGCTAATATATTTTCAATTAGGAGGCACATCATAAAATATATTTATTGTTTTTAATTGGTTATTTAGGTCATTAAATTATCAGATTGGTGCAAAATTCTGATAAACCCAATCAACTTAAATTTTTTTAAGAAACCCTGATCATCCATGTCATTTCTCTGATTGAAAAAAAACTAAAAAGTTTTGTCAGAAATATGGAGTGTTATTTCTCACATAAGTTTGGGGGCATCCATGTTTCTGCAACTGTCTTAGCATTGAGATGCTGTTTTAAACTAGAGTAGCTTTGATGATAGGCTAACTCCCTTTTGCACAACTTGAACACAACGTCTCCCATCAGATTGTCCCCAGTGGGCCAAGACAGGCAGCTTTGTCATTTATAGCTGTTGTTTTCAGATGCTTCTTGTGTGTCAGATCTAAAAGACATACCAGGAACACAAGACAACAGTGCAAGCTCAAGATTTTGGTATGAAAAAAAAATGGAAAAAAAGGAAATGAATTGTGTTAACATTTTAACTCAAAGTCCCAGCCCTACTTTTTATTCATCTTTTTATCACAACTATGTAGAGAAG